CCTACTGACCGGATTTAGATTAAATTTGGTATGGGGTGTGTGTAGGGAGAATTTAACTTTGATGCGAACCGGTCATTTTAACTCCTGTTTTCAAAGATGTCAAAATTTTGCCTCTGCGTTTTCGTAGAAAGACCAGCCTTTTCCGTTCAGTTGCAAAAGCAAACCGACTATCATTTCCTTATCTCAGATGTTGTACCGTCGTCGTGATGGTCCAGCCAAGAGTGAAGAAAGACTCTTTACGTCAGCAGCCGAGTCAACGTCCGGTTGATAACAAGCAGTTAGTGTAGATGGCGTGACATATGTTTGAGAAGTGAGGCTGTGTGAAGTGGCAGGTTTTAGGTCTGTTACCTGTTTTTAATGTGGTGACGTGGTGGTAATTTCAGGTTAGCGTTGCTATGACAGTGAAGTGTGTAGCTCTATGTAATGGGACATCAAGGATTTCGGTCAATGCTCTGTGTGAAAAGAAGGAAAATGTACTTCGGTCAATGCTCTGTGTGAAAAGAAGGTAAATGTAACTTATTTTTATATAAACACTCTTACGTCCGGTTTTTTTTTAAATTTTTTGAAATCGATGTTCTTTCCCAAAATAGTTTTTTTTATGTAAACCGCAGAGCGCCAGATAAAGAAAAGAAAAAATTAGCTTGATGAGAAATTAGAAATAAACGAGATTATAATACTTTTAAAAATAATTAAGTTGATTGGACTTATAATATTTTACTGATAGTGATTTCTTTCATGAAAAACCTCTTTCATAGACGTGTTAGATCTTAGGTTCTCACCGGGTGAGGATGACGATGACTGGTGCCCTGTGGACTCATAGCTACATACAAACGCTTCACAGAAACACGCTGCCTCCATCTTCTGTCCTGAGTGTTCCCTCGAGTTTGAAACCCGCAAGAACAACATCGAAATGCATAAAAGAACCTTCATTTTTATTATTGCTGAGATTTTAATTTTACTAAAAAACTATTGGCTCTCCACCATTGTATTCAGATGCGGTACATTTCAGCAATTTATTTCGAAGTGACCCCGTAACCTGTGGTTATAATTCTAAAATCTTTACAAATACTTTTAACATTCTTGAAATTTCTTACGCTGAAAGTCTTGGTCGTAAGAAGTGATTTAAAATAAGGGTTAACTGTCACATACAGTCACAAATGAAGATATAAATGATCTTCTGGGTTGTTTCGTCTTGTATTATTCTGGCTGTGTGCAATCATTTTGGACGAAGTCTTTATGGTGGCGACTGAGTATTTTGTTTGACACAGGCCTACTTTTTGAAGTTTTAACAGCATACAGCAATTTCTGAGAATTGTTTGATTCTAAAAAGTATCTAACTCAAATCAAAATTATGTTTTGATCCTGTTTATTTTACTGAATCTCAGTTTTATCTATGAGGAAACTGAATTTAAGATAGTATAATTGCGTCATATTGTGAATCAACAGAAATTGTAATTGAGTTTTAAGTTTATTGATATAATTTTACACCTGAAGATGGTTCGATGAAACCGAAACATGTTGTAAAAATGTTCCAAATGTAAATCGATTATTCGATGTGGAACATAAAATGATATTTTAATTATCTTATTTGTAAATTTTAAATATAATTGTGATTAGACGGACAAAACCGAATAATTAATGAATTTAAGATGATGATAATGAAGAAGAATATTAACCAATAAAAACTAAAGTACCTTGAAGATGGCTGCCTTGTGGGATGTAGCGCCGTGTGGCCGTGCGCACGACTTACTCATCGCCCTGATGATGGAGGCAGCTAGGACGTCTGAAACGTTGGTTAACTTCTACCAGACTACACGGCGCTACAACCCACATAACAGCCATCTTTATATTAATGTTTGATTCTATTAAAGAACTTGTCGAGCAAAACTGTTTCAGTACTTGACTTAATAGACTTGGCCATGAGACACATTTATTTTGATTTGTGCCTATTTTTTAATTTATTTCATTCTGTTGTATTAAAAGAAGAGACGACACAATCGAGTAACACTCATCACTCTCTGTTTCATATAATAGGCACAGAAATCTTTGTTCAGTTTTTACAAAGTTTCGCCAGGAACCACGAACGTGTAATCCAGGTTTAGAGCTCTGACGTACACTTGACTCTCTGGACCTCGTGTCTTCGGTCGTGCTCGAATCTTAACAAATTGTTCACTTGTCTGGATCCGTTCCGACAGTG